CTCCACTGAAACCTGTTCACCATGGCTGATCCTGTTGGTATTTGAAAAACTGCTGGCATAGCTTCCAGCATCACAGCAACATGCAAGCCAAGCCACCACAGTACAACAAACTGACAGACAAAAGTTCTTTGCTCACAATCAACGACAGGTCAAACTATGGTGCCTTTCTTTTCTTCTGAAGGAGCCCTACTGCTGAGGAAGTCCCTCCAACTGCCCTAGGTCTCGTGATCATCTGAGATGTCCTTTACAACACCTGCCTCCAATGTAGGCTCTGCTGAAGATAAAGAGATGACTCCAAGAAGCCACCAAATGTGTACATCTGTTAGAATGCAATGAACACTTAAAATCTGTGCAATTCCAACTTGTACAAGGAAAGGTCATGGAAGCTCCACAGACCACATCCAAACTCCCTGAGGGACCAAACTGCTGGGCAGAGGGCTGTGGCGGACCATGGTCTCAGGGAACATCTAGATCAACTGGCATAACATAGTTTATAAAGACAATGTTCTACATTCTACCTTGGTGAGTAGCATCTGGGGTCTTATAAGCCTGTGAGCAGCCATCTAAGATACTCCACTGGTCTCATCCCTTCAGGAGCAAGGGAGAATGAAGAAAACAAGATACAAGGGAAAGATCAGTCCAAAGGACTAATGGACCATAACTACCACGGCCTCAACCAGACTGAGTTCAGTATAACTAGATAGTGCCAGCTATACCACTAACTGCTCTGACAGGGATCACAACAGAAGATCCCAGACAGAGCTGGAGAAAAATGTAGAACAAAATTCTAACTCACAAAAGAAGACAAGACTTACTGGCCTGACAGAGACTGGAGAAACCTTGATAGTATGGCCCCGGACACCCTTTTAGCTCAGTAATGAAAAGTCACTCCCGAGATTCACCCTTTAGCCAAAGATTAGACAGCCCCATAAAACAAAATGAGACTAACGGGGCACAACAGCCCAGAGACACAGACTAGAAAGCAGAGGAGGGGACAGGAAAGCTGGTAAAAGGGAACCCAAGGTCAAGAAGGGAGAGTGCTGACATGTCATGGGGTTGTTAACCAATGTCATAAAACAATATGTGTACTGTTTAATGAGAAAAGACTTGCTCTGTAAACGTTCATCTAAAATACAATAAAAGAAGAGAAAGAAAAAAAAGCTTTGAGCTGGAATTAAATTCTGTGAGGATCTTGAATTAAAAGCATAGTATTTAAAAAAAAATTTGCACAATTCATTTATATAAACAATAAAAAAAAAATACACAAATATTAATGATACGCTGTATCTATGCATTTTACAAATACCAAAAATGAAATTAAAAAACATTCCCAAGAGTGATACAGTCAGGATTTAAGACCACATCTGTATAACTCCACAGTCCAAGCTGTTTTCAATATATTGTTCTGATTCCAAAAAAAAGAGGACAGCCCACCCTGGCTGCACGTGTAATTGGCCTACCACGCCTGTTCAAAGGACAAAATGAATGACATCCTTCTACATTTCCAGAGTAATGGATCTTTCAGCAAAAGATGTGACATGTCATTCCATGGTGCTCTGAACACTCTACGTCACACGTGGAGGTGGAGCTGAGAAATAAGCAGTGTTCGGATCACAAAAATTGCTAAAAGAGCCCAACACCACGTACACAGCACCTACACTACAGATCAGCTTTATCTTAGTATTTTCTACAAATCTGGTGGTAAGAGAACCCAAACGCAGATCAAGAAAGCAGCAGGAGTGAAGACAAATGATCTCTGTTCTGTATTTTTACTCATGATGACTTTGGCTTGCTCATCAGATAAAGGGAAAGGTCCACTGAAAAGGGAGATTAAAAAAATTCAAGGTATGAAAACACAGACGGGATCCCAGAAAAAGATAGGGCATGGTAGTGGGCCCAGACTCAGATTAGGTGGCTAAAAGCACTTAGAGGACATCTGCAGAAACTATGCAGTATCTTATTTTTCATACACAAATTTCACATAAAAATCTCTATTCTTAGCTTCTCCTAAGAAATTACATCATTGGGCAATGATGGGCCAGCACTCTTGCAGCCAGCAACTGTCTGTAGCACCCCCCCCAACCCCCAACCCCGCCATACACACTTTTAAATAAGGGGTGCACACTAGGCAGCCAGAGTTGTCACCAGTCTCTTTACTCCCATCTCTCTGCCCCAGCTTTTAGGTCTGAGGTACAATTTGAAAGCAATCTTGGAAAAGTGGCAAAAAAGGACTCTTCTCCTCTGGGAAAGGAGAGAAGTAAAAGAAGACGGATGGTACCTGCAGACAGGCTGACCCACAGAAGGCCCCAGGGAGGAAGCTGTTAGACAGCAGCACCCAACCTCCAGACACCACCTTCCTCTTCAGGGGAGCGCTGCAAACTTTTAGCAACAAGGACAGCTTTGCCAGCCTCAAGTAAGCTTTAAGCCCTTTGTTTTCCTTTTTTTAAGAATAAAAAAGAGTTGGAAATTTTTAGTATATTTTTACATTTAGTTGTACTTCATAAAGAAAATGAGTAAAGGTGGGCTACTTTTGAAAATTCTACAACAGTGACTTTTATTTTACGGTGGTCTGCAAAAAATGAATTTTGATGTATTCTAGGCACCAAAATTTATAAAGAAATGGGTCACAGACCTAAATATAAAACCTAAAACTATAAAACTTCTAAAAAAAAAAATCTATGTGACTCTGGATTAATCAAAGATTTCATAAACGTGAAACCAAAAGCATGATCCACAAAAGTACAAAATGATAAACTGGAACTCATACTTAAAAAATTTCTTCTCTTTGAAAGACGCTGTTAAAAGAGAATGAAAAAAGCTATACATAGACTAGGAGAAAATATTTGCAAATTATGTATTTGATAAAGGACTTGTATCCAAATTATATAAAACCTCTCAAAACTCAGTAATAAAACAAAACAACCCAATAATTGACATATAGTAAAAGATGTGAACGGAAAACATGCAAAGAGCAAATAAGTACACGAAAAGCTGTTCAACATTACCAGTCATCAGGAAAATGGAAATTAAAACCACAATGAGATACCACCATACACTAGGATGGCTAAAGACTGACCATACCAAGTGTTGACAATGATATGGAGGAAATGGAACTCTCATGCACTATTGCTGGAAATGTAAAATGGTACAATCACTTTGGAAGACAGCTTGGCAGCTTCTTATAAAGCCCAACATACACTTAACTGAAAGAACCAGCCATTCCACTCCTTTGTATTTACTCAAGAAAAATGAAAACACATGTCCATAAAAAGATGTGTATACAAATATTCATAGCAGCTTTATTTATAACAGCGAAAAACTACAAACAACCCAACTTGTTCATCAACTGGCAAACTGTCGTACATCCTTACAATGAAATCAATGGAACACCCAATAATAAAAATGAGTAAACTACTGATATATACTACAACACGGGTAAATGTCAAAATAATTATGCTGAGTGAAAAAAGCCAGTTTAAAAAAAAAGAAAAAGCTTACAGTCTATATAATTCCATTTATATAAAATTTTAGAAAACATAAACTAATCTGCAGAACAGAAAGCAGATCAGTGAATGACCTGAAAACTTCTGAGGATGGATATGTTCACTCTCTAAACTGCAGTGATGGTTGTATATATATCAAAACTTATCAAACAGTACACTTTAAATATGTGCAGTTTACTATATGTCATTCATACCTCAATAAAGCTGTTAAAAAAAAAAAAAAGTTGAACAAGGTGAGACATTTTACAAAGGAGATGAGTGGCGCAATGTAGACGTTAAAGGATCAAATGAGTAATAGCATAACAAGTATTAGTATAAAAGAACCTCCCAGAGAAGGGATGTTTCATAATGGACCCCAAAAGACAGGCAAGAAGTAATAGGTACTAGTCCAGGTAGGAGAGAAAACATGTGAATAAAGGCTAGGCAAGAACACAAACTCCATTTAGGAGAGAACAAACAGGCCAATGCGGCAAAGACCTAGGGATTTAAAGTCAAGACTCCTGGCTTAACTGTCTTATACTCAATGGGAAATCATTTAGAAAACTTTGAACATTACCTGCGCAGGCAGCATGAACCTGAGGAAATAAAACCCGAAGTAGGATAAACCAGGTAAAAGTTTTTCTCTGGCTATAAGCTGAAGGCTAAACAAAGGTGGTCGCTGTGAAAACAGAAAAGGGTCACAGAAAGCAGAATTCTGTGATTAGTAAAACAGGAAGAATGCAGGAAAAGGACACTTGTTATCTCCTCTTCTGTCAGAATAGTTATGTAGAGCTAGGTGTTCTGAGGGATGAAGAACTGCCCTGCAGTCCCATGAAGGTAGAGGGTAAGGTACTTCCCGGAGAGGCCAACCCAAGTGTTCAAGTCAGAGCGGGGCCGCCACTGCTGCACCAGAGCCATAAAATCCCAGTGATTAAAAGCCGGAATGAACCAACACAGTACAGGCTCACAGGAGGAAAACTCCACTACAAGTGACCATGAACAGATTCAGAGGCCCTAATCAAGTCCACTTTCAATCTTAACCCTAATATCTAACATCTAAGAATATTCTCATTCACCTTAGACAGAAAACAAGGCTTTAAAAAAAAAAAAATTCACTACAAAAAAAGATCAAATGACTAATCACAACCAAAGTGCTAAAGTACTGGAGAGAAATCAGAAATCTAAAAACGTTAACATAGTAATTTCCCCTACTAATATGGCAATTAACACGGTTTGATGGACAGATGTTCTAGAACAACTGTGTAACCACCTGGTGATAAGAACAAAGGTTTGTGTTATGGACAGACATCCACCAGAAATACCAAGAACTAAAGGTTTCCATGCAATGAGAATTAAGCTCGTACTGTACTTATCAACAAGGCTAATTTTATGAACCCAGAAATCCAACCCCGAATTCTAATTCTATAACCACTCTTCTCAAAATCCACCCACTACATGTTCTCACATAGCTGCACATACAAAGCATTTTTGTTAGCCAGTACAAACTGGCTTGCATACCTGTTTGGAAGGTAGGATTTGCTCCAGGGTACATGTTAGGAGAATAGGCAGGAGCTGCTGCATAGCCCATGGGGAAACCAGCTGAAGAAAAACAAACACAAAACAATCTGATATCATGAAACACAGTAGTAACATGATTTACAATCAGGGTTCCCACAGGTCCACTCATTTTTACCTTCTTCAACCAAACTTCACAGACTGACTCACGAAGACCCCACAGCATTATCTGTGCCAGAAAGATGTACTTCCTCGGAATTTCAATGGATCAAAATCACAATTCTATCTTTTAAACCTATGATTAAATGCCTACAACCTTCTACAACTGGAAAATTCAGCAGAAGCTGAGATATAAGCCCACTGTCAGAGTAGCAAAATCATAATCACAACACACACACACACACATACACAAAAGCTGAAGTCAGAAAGCCCCAACAGTTACGGCAGTTTTATTCCACATTCTAATCACATACCTTTAACACTGAGCAAGAGTAGTAAGAGTGCTCAGAGCATCGTGTACTAGGTCCTGTTAGTCTAGCAAGGTCTGAAGGTGGTACCCTTCATCTGCTTTCACTCTAACAAGTACGAAAATCAGGAGTCAAATCTAACTTGGACTCAAGACTGTTTTGCCTGCTATCGTTAATGAAAAATTTAATTCATTCTCACTAAATGCAAAAAAGTACCCAACGTTATTGTACACTTTCACTTAGAAGCTAATGACCCCAACTCACGGTGACCCATGTGTATCAGAGTAGAACTTTGTTCCATAGGGTTTTCAAAGGAAAGGCATTGTTTAAAACTTCTAATTTCATTTCAGGCTTCTTCCTATGCTACCAATGCCCAATTTCTCCAAGTCAGGATGGCCAGTAATAAGCCCAGACTGTAAATGTCATTGACTTCAGTCTCTGACTGAGGAGCTCTAATGGCACCATAAGCACACAGGAACTGGAAAAAACAAATCTCACAATCCACTTATTTGAAGAAATTCTTAAGCAATATGATCTTTATTAATACAAATAAGTATTTCTTAATCCTTAATAAGACTAAACTCAACCACTAATAACTGATAACATGAACACAACAGAAACATTAAATATGTAGTGCTATAGCTAAAATCCTGCCATCAGGTGTCCACTAGTAGCAGGGGCTTTAGCCATGTGTTTAAAAACACCTGGGAGGCAGGCACTCACCTTCTGCCTGGACTGCTCTGGTTCACAATTTAGGACATGTCACTCATGCGGACAATCAGGGGCTTTATCCATATCCAGGACACAGAGCCAATGATGACCCAGGCTCACTAGTCTTAACTACTGTCATTAACTAGTTGTGAGAAGCTATAACTTCTCTATTCCTCTCTTATTTCATCTGTAAAGAAAGAAGTTGAAGTAGAACAGCAGTCTTCAAGAATAACTGAATAATAGTGTTAAGGAGACTCAGAGGATGGTGTCTCCTAGGACACTTGGACCAGGACATTCAAGGCAGTAAACTGACCCCTGAAGGGACTGTGGTGGTAACAGTAACCAAAGTGAGGAAACCATAAACACAAGGTGAAAACTTGGGGCAAGTTCTGAGTGAAATTCCAAAGGTAATATCTTTGTGAATCTAGATTTTTAAAGGTTCTGAATAAAGTTCCTTACATGAATTCCTTACGTGGGTCACCAACACAGTCTGGAAGCGATGCTGCCCTGCAGGTTTCATGGAACTCCTCATCTCAGGGCAGGAGTCTTTGGCCCCACTAATCCCCAGGAATCCCTACTTGGAAGTGCCCAGTTCTCACCTCTTACATAAATCCACTGCTTCAGAGTTGCTTTCCCGTCTCAAAACTGATCCTCCTCTACCTCAGCAAAAGCTATTATGGGTTTCCCTCCTGGACTATCACTTTCCCATTTGCCCTCTCTCATTAGCAGAGCACAACCTGTGGTGGTCAAATGTTTATCAAGTTCAGTCATCGTGGATATCAAGGACAACTTCAACTTGAAACAGACCTAGAATGGCCATTTTAAAGAGCAGGTCAGTGGTTTTCAATCTGTGTTCTACTGACCCTGCGAGATTCTTTAGAGGGTCCAACTGTGGGCAACTCTGGAGCCTGTCCTCAATTCACCCACAGGAGCTGCTGTGATATATCTTAGATACTGCAGATCCACATAGAATTAAAAAAAAAAAAAACATTTCATTGTTAAAAAAAAGTTTAAAAGGCTACTGACCTAGACCATATCCTGTAGGCTACTGCCACAATCCCCACAAAATCCATATTTCCTCATCTCTCTCCATAAACTCCATCTGTAAATTGTCATGGGGAATCATCTGCTTCTGTACTTGTTTTGTTAGTTTGCTTGGTCCTTCCTATCCTAACCTTCTACACGTGACAAGTGTTTTCAATAGCACAATGAACCACCAGCAAACGGTCGGGGGGGGGGGGGGTCAAAGTCCCTCACTCTCTCTAGGACCTCCTCTGCTCCTTCCCTGCCCCCATCCCACCAGCCACCTTTTTCCCACTCCCATTACCTTGATGCAGAGCCTCAGCATGGCTTACCTCACTATCTTTAGTCCAGTGGTTGCCACCTTGGCTGCACAAAACCCCCACAGCTTTGAAAAGACTCCTGCCCAGGATGCACCTCCCTGCAACATTCCATTTAACTGGTCTTGAGTGGAATACCAGAATTTTTTTACTTAATCTCTCCAGATCATTCTAATCTGCAGGGTTCCAATGAACAGGGTTGAGAACCACTGTTTCTTCCTATTCCTGTCCATCTTTCTCACTACAGCAATGCCTTCCTATGAATACCCTTCACAGAAGATACGATGGGCTGTTTCATTTAGTATCTTCTCTCTATTCCTTTATGGCATGGAGAGACTAAAGCTAAAAATGATACTACCCAGACTCCCCTATAGCACAGGTTTGGGACTGATTCCAAATTCTAATCACTTATATGAGACTCTGATCACTTCATGGAAGTAAAATAAAAACTTCAAAACAGCAAAAAATACCATAAGCTAAATTAAAGATAAACTAGGAGAAAATACTTGCAAATTACTTTGACACTGGGTTAATATTCTCATAATACATAACTGTTAAAAAAAAAAAAAAAGAACGAAAACCCAATAGGGGAAAAAAAAAAAAAATCATGGAGAGAGAGAACTGAAGACTACAACTACAGTGATACCACTTCTAACATCATACTAGCGAAGTCCAAAAGCTTGACAACACACTTTGGTTGGCAAGGCTGTTGTTAAACCGCATTCTCACACACCTGTGGGTAGGAGTACAATACAAATCCTAAGGAAAGGAATTCGGCAATATCTTAAAAACTGGATATGCATTTACTCTCACCTAGCAACCCCACCTCTAAGAATCCACCCTGAAGATAATTTCCACAAACACAATCAACATAAGGCTATTCACTGCAGCATTACTTAATGGCAAAATACTTCACATAACCCAAGACTGGCTAAATAAACTATGGAACCCCCCCAAAAATGGAACATTGTGCAACAGTATTATGTAAAAAGGAACAAGGTAAACCTCTGTGAACTGATATAAAGTGATTCCTAGAATACACTGAGCTGCCCAAGCAAAGTGCACAATACCGCCTGCATTTCCTTCCAGAAAGAGTTATGCCGTAAGGAGTCTGTGGGCTAAGTCTCCAGTAGCAGTGCCTTTTGGATCTACTGCTGTCTAAGACAGGCCTTCTCTAACTGGCCATCCTAGCCCCCAAGCTCCCCAATGGCAGTAGTGCATCACAGTCTGAGGCACCCCCTATCCAATTCTGCTTCACAAGTGTTGTGTCCCAGAGTTTGCATCTCTAACTCCATCTCAGTGCCTGCTACCTTTTGGGCACTTGTCAATTCTGGGCCTGGGCAAGAGGCTGAGAGTGCAGGCTCTCCCTGGGCAGAAGGGACAAAGAGACAGAGGGTTTTGGTGGCCTTGCAGGGATGTAGTGACGGAACATCTAAGGAGCTTCAAAAACAGCTGAAGTCCCTTTAAGACGTTTACCAAATTCCAAAGTTACCCTAGTAGAAAGCTAAAAAGCTAAACTGAAAATCAGTGAAATGCAAAACGAAATTTTTCACACTCCCTTGCTGCCAAAGAGACAAAGATTAGCGTCTGGGACCCACTAAAGGGATAGGTCCTGGTCAGCAAGCCAGGCTCAGAGAAGCCCTGCACTCTAGGATGAGGGCAAAACAAGCTCAGCTCCTGAGTGCACTGAGGAGCTCAATTATCACTCTATCTTGATTAGCAAAGGAACACATCAACTGGACCACTGGCAATTTTTAATACGACATATATGATGTTCAATCAAAAACACGAGGCATACCAGTACAGGACATGACCGAAAAAAGAAAAAGACAAACTGACAACAGAATCATACCCATAAGTGATCCATATACTGGAGTCAGCCAACAAAGTCTTCAAAATTACTATTGAGTTGTGTGTTGGAGAAAACAGAAGATGAAGAAGATAGATGAAAAGACTCAACGAGCAGAAGGCAGCATTAATGAAATGAGAGTAGACCACTACAAAATATCTATATTAAAGCTCGCAGAGAGAAAAAATAGAAAATACCAAAAAGGGCACAAAAGACATGAGGGACAGAATGAAAGCGTCTAATATGCTTGTAAATCAGTCCCAGAAGAGAAGAAAGAATGGAGCAGAAAAAAATATTTGAAGTTCTATTGCTATTCAATCCACAGAGTCAAGGAGCCCTGTAAATGCTAAGCAAGATAAAGAAAATCACATCTAGTCACATCAGAATAAAACAAGCTATTTTAAAAGCAGTAGAGGGTAGGGAAGGAGACATATCACTTTTTTATTTTTTTAATTGTACTTCAGGTGAAGGCTTACATAACAAATAGTTTCTCATGAAACGGTAGTACACATATTGTTTTATGACACTGGTTAACAACCCCACAACATGTCAACCCTCTCTTCTCGACTTTTTTTTATTTTTTGGTGAAAATATACATAGCCAAAGATACACCATTTCAAAAATTTCTACACGCACAGTTCAGTGACATCGACTACGCTTTTCCAATTGTGCTATTCTCAATTTAGGTGAAGGCTTACAGAACAAAATAGTTTTCTCATTTAAACAGTTAGTACACATGTTGCCCTATGACAATGGTTAACAACCTCACAATCCATCAACACTATCCTTACTCAACCTTGGGGTCCATATCACCAGCTTTCCTGTCCCCTTCTGCCTTCTGGCCCTTGTCCCTGGACCGCTGTGCCTCATTAGTCCCATCTGGTTTTATGGGGCTGTCCACTCCCCAGCTGAACGGTGAACCTCAGAAATGACTTCACCACTGAGCTAAAAGGGTGTCTGGGGGCCATACTCTCGGGGTTTCTCCAGTCTCCTTTAGGCCAGTACATCTAGTCTTTTTTTTGTGAGTTAGAATTTTGCTCTACACCTTCTCCAGCTGTATCCAGAACCCTCTGTTGTGATCCTGGTCAGAGCCGTCAGTGGTGGTAGCCGGGTACCATTTAGCTGTACTGGACTCAGTCTGGTGGAGGCCTTGGTAGCTGTGGTCCATTAGTCCTTAGGACTAACCTTTTCCTTGTATCCTGTTCTCTTCATTCTCCCTTGCTCCCAAAGGGATGAGACCAGTGGAGTATCTTAGACGGCTGCTCAGAGGCTTTCAAGACCCCAGACGCTACTCACCAAGGTAGAATGTACAACACGGTCTTTATAAACTGTGTTATGCCAATTGAGCTAGATATTCCCCGAGACCATGGTCCCCACAGCCTTCTGCCCAGCAATTCAGTCCCTCAGGGAGTTTGGATGTGTCTATGGCACTTCCATGACCTTTCCTTGTACAAGCTGTGCTGGTTTCCCCCGTATTGTGTACTGTCTCACCCTTCACCCAAGATACCACATCTATTGCTGCCTATTTAGTATTTCCCCCCCACCCCTCCCATCCCTGGTAACCAACAAAGATTGTTACATTTTGTGCGTGAACTTTTTCATGGGTTTTTACAATAGAGGCCTCATACAATATTTGTCCTTTTGTGATTGACTTATTTCACTCAGCATAATGTCCTCCAGTTTCATCCATGTTATGAGATG